GTCAAAAACCGTAGGTTTTTAAAAAAAAAAAAAAAAAAAAAAAAATCGGTCGTTCAATAGGCCGATGTTACCACCAACGGTAAAGAAAATCCTCCTCTTTTTTTTAATCAGTAAAAAGATCGGCCGATTTGCCTATCATTGCCGGGAAAATCGGCCGATCTTTTTCCAACTTCACCGATTAAAAAAAAAAGAAAGTGCCAAAATCCCGAAAAAACGGCCGACCAATTAACCCACTAACGGTGCGAAAATCGGCCCGCCTATGGTGTGCATTATCCTTTAATCAGGGAAGGCAAAGGAAGTTTTTCATTATGAGGTGTGTGTGTGTATCACATAAAAACTGGGATTTGGTACTTTTCTAGGCTGCCATACTGGAGCCTTTAATTGTACTTATTCATTTAGAAAGTATTCACACCCTAAACTGATTTATCATGAATTAGCAGCTAGTTAGCTTGAGGTTGCCTTCAGCTGAAGTTTTCATCTTACTTGCTGTCCCGAGAAGCAGCACAAAAATAACTTGCAGCACTTGATGGCACACATCAAGAGGATCTAAATTTAACCTGAAGTGCAAGTGAAAGCTTTGGATTCTAACCAGACCTTTTTAATAGCCTGTCCTATATTGCAGTGTAACCTACCTGTAACAAAGAGCACCCGCCAAGATTTCATAGAAAAGGTTACATATGCAAAATCACAGGGAGGTCACTTTCATACACACCACCACTTTTTGACGTGAACCATATTATTTTATGCTGCTGTTCTAATAAGCTTCTTGCAAGCTATGTGTTCATGAATTCTGGTCGCAGTTACTGCCGCCATGATAACTCGTACCCCTATCCCACAGCAATCACATATTTGTCTACTGATACTTACTGTCCAGCTCAACATCGCCTGAGAGAAAACCAAGCCAACTCCACCCCTGAAGAATGAATCCTTTCAACCCAAATAAACATATCTCACAACCCTGTCTAAGAATTCCTAGTCCTGCCAGAAATAATAATATTGTGGCCTTAACCCCTTGTTGCCACAAGCAATCTAAATGACAGAGGCAGGCTTTCTGATCATGTGACCACTGTAATTGGCTTTCACAGTGGTCAACAATTGTAAACAATGATCAGAAGCTGTCTTTGACAACTTAGTCACTCTGTACGGAGTTCATAGTGAGCACGCTCTCAGAAAGCCATTGGCTTCAAACATGTCAACTCCTAGTCCATAAGCCTTTTTTTGTCTTAACTACCAAACAGAGCATTGAGACTTTACCTGCTGCTTGCTTGTTCCAAATCGCTGACTGCAGTAAAGGACTATAGAAATCATCCCCTGGTGAATGCGAGCCACCAATAACCAAGAAATTGTGTTGGCCCAATCCTCCTCTTCTGGGGTACCCTGCCAACACTTTAGGAGGCTCCTCTTCTCTGTGCGCCACCATAGGAATCCACTTCCTATGGGGGCGCACTTATGAGCTTTTCTGTGTGCATTCATAGACACACAGTGCGGCTCAGCTTTGCCACTTGCTCTCTGCTCACTGGATTTGATTGACAGTTGCAAGAACCAATGACTCCCGCTGCTGTCTCTGTCCTGTAAAAGAGAGGAGAAAGGCAAAGTGCTAGATCGAGTGAGGTAAGTATTTAGGGGGTGCAGTGTTTTTTCTTTAGAACCATTTTAAAAGGTCAGGACTATATTTACAGTTATTCTTTGAGATTAAACTGGTAGCAAAGGTGAAAACAACCCAAACCCTGCAAGGTAAAGACATAATGTTCCAGTATGCATCCCATACTAGCACATTATGAAAGACTTACTTTGAAACGAAGCCCTCTAGCACCGTGCTGTCACCGAGTCTTCCTTCTTCACTCTGTCTGATTTCCAGGTTCGCGGGTTGTGGCCGATTGAATGGCTGAGCTGACGGCACTTCTGTGCATGCGCATGGGAGTCACAGCTGCGGCACAGAGCCCTGAAGGAACAGAGCGGATATACCATTCCTTCAGACCGCATGCGTTGGTGATGTCACCAGCTGCTGCTCCCTAGAACATCTCTCTTCCATTTTAAAGGGTTGGTTCACCTTTTCACGAAAAATGAAAAGATGGACTTCAAATATTTCTGGCCACCACTCTAGACCCAACCCAGCTGCACATGGCAGGCCCGCTTCAATAAACAGCCCTGGAGTGGGCAATGCTGATGTTTGCAATGGCAAGTACTTATTGGTCAGTGCACCACTCTGACCAATAAGAATCCCTTATTGGAACAGAGAGAGGCCTCATTCTTCTCATTACATGCTTTCCCTGGTTTTCTCATGGTGGCAACTGTATATCACGCCTTTTATAAAGTGTTTTAAAAAGGCTACTTATGGGAAAACATGTGACAGGTGAAAACATAGATCAATTGAGAGACGGGCTGAGGGTTGTCACTTTTAACAGAAAGTCTAATTGGTTAGTTCACCTTTACTAAGTTTTGCCATAACCCTCCCTGTGCATTAGTGTCCTCAATACAGTAAAGTGGAAATAAACTCCCTTTGTTTTTTTGTACCTACAGATACGCCTATAATAAGGCTTACCTGTAGGTACAGTAAATATCCCCTAAATGTGCAGCATTTGCAGGATATATTTACATGTGAAGCAGCCGGTGATGTCATGCGTAATGCACTCTCGATGGTCCATTAAAAAAGCTGTGCCACGGGTGTGACCTCCATGGGCATGTCAGTGGTGACAGGGCACTGCTGGAGGGATCCGTTTCACAGGTAAGTCTGTCATAATGTGCTAGTATGCTGTGTATGTGATCCTGTCTGCCCTATAGCAGAATTACCACTACAGGGTGGCATGGGTGTGCAAAATAATGTAAATACGTGATTTCCAGGTAGGGGGCGCTGCCATTCGTGGCTATGGCTGCCAATCACCATTTTCCGGCCAGTGATTCATCGCCAGCGCCCAGTGATTGCTGAGCACTCCAATGGGGGGGGGAGAACTGTTTGTAAGCAAAACAGTTCGCTCCCCTCTCAGCTCCTGCACACTGCTTTGCATGGCTGTACATAGCAGAGTGATGCAAAGCAGTGTGCTTACAGTGAAGCGCACACAGTAAAAAAACACACAACACAGTTAATCCTACACCGCTGAGCAAACTGTTTGCTCTATATAAATCCTGTATAATAGTAATAACTAGAAAAGCTACAATTTCTGGGGAAATTGTGTGAAGTGTTCTTGCCTCCACCAGTAGTCTACAACTGGAGTAGGTGGAGTAACTGGGTGGAGTGGCTTGAGTAACTATTGTGTGGTTGGAGTGGCTGGAGTAACTGTGAAAAGGTTGGACTGGGCAGAGTAACTGTGTGGAATGTTTGGAGTGAGTAAAGATAGTAAACATTACACTAACCAATTGATTGATCAAATGTAAAAAGTGCACATGGCAAGCTTGATAGAGTGAGAAATGCATTTCAACTTTTATTTTTCAGCTCTCACACTCTAGCTTTTGTACCTATGCTGCCTGCTCACACACCTGGGTTCCTATGGCAACTCACTCTACAGCAAGGGCAGAGAAGAGCGGTTAAAAACAAACTGCTCCAACTTGCTCACTTCTCTGGCAGTTGCCATCTTCAAACGGTTGTAGTTTACAAATTATAAATCCTACACCAAAGAGCTTTATATTGTGAGAATCACAAGACCCAGACCTACATTTTGATGCATAGTATGTCTCTGAAATATGAAAAATGAAGGCACAGTCGCAGTTTAGAAATTGCTATTCAAATTTGAGGTGGCTAGAGTAGAGTTTCAATGAATGTCAATGGGCGGCGTGAGTTGCAAACAAATTGTCATATTGTGAAAACTATCAGGACTATGGCTTAGCCGTGGACATTTTTGTGTGGCAGCAGGGATAGCTGAACGTTTTGATATAAGATTTGTTTAGGTGGGCTTGAAAGTGAGGGAGTGATGGCAGTTTAGAAATCATGTCCTGATTTTCAGCTCACACTCTAGCTTTTGTCATCTCCCACTCTAGTTTTGAACATTCCGCCATTCATTCCTATGGGACCAATTTCACCACAAAAACGGCGATATTTCGTGAACCATACGGTGAAACGTTCCACAAAGTAATAGCACACCAATCAGGAACAATCCACACGTTTCTGTATTTTACTGTCTATGTAGTGTAAACTGTGGGAGGAGTTAGGGTGGTAAATTTGGCTATAATAATATATGTGTGAGATAACAGTAAGTGGTCTTGTCATGCAAGAACACTTAATAATGTTTGGTATATGTATTGTATGATATTTGTTTATTGGTATTCATCCACAAAACTCATCATTTAGCTAATATATGGGGAGTATAGGGTGCATACCTACACTTTATGCTACTTCTCCTATTTGAGCACAGCGCCTATCTATTCATCACTAATTCACATGTATTACATAGTTCTGGCTTAGCTCAATGTAAGTATTCAAATCTCATACCTGATGGGCAGCAGAAAAAGCTGAACATTATTGTAGTAGTCGGTGCTGGGGTTCTATGTGAATTGTTTCCCGTCTACACTGACCACAGGGAGTTGCTTGCTCACCATTGCTGCCATTCACAGAATGCCATTTGTTTATTTTTCAACGAACAATGCATTTTCTGATTGGATGAGGTGGGGATTGTGACAGCGCTGCCCCTCCTCTCCACTTGATCTAATCAGAAAATGTTTTGTATTTACTGAAAAAAATACAGGGCATTCTTTGAATGGCTGGTGTTGAGCAGGCACTCTTTTGTGGTCCTTGCGTGGAGGGGAAGGCGCTTAAGACAGGACTGGGAAGAATGCAGCTATCGCAGTGGTGACTACTGCAGTGATTTCCAGCTTCTCCAGCGGCCCATCAGGTATGAGATATGCATACTTACATTGTGCCGAACTGAACTAATGTAAATATGCAATACAGATTATTCTTATAGTTCAGCTTTAATACTCAAAACATAGATAATTGTTTTTTTAATGAAAATGTCTTTGCTTAATGTAGATGTTAATTTTAGTAAAAAAAACATTTTTCTGTTTCTTTTACAGTGCCAGATCCAGTCAAGATCAGTTCCAACCAGCCCCAAACTGCCACGCCCAGTACTTCCACCAGCACTGTCCCAAATAGCAATGGCAAGCGTGCATCTGCCAATGGCCAGCAAGCAGCGGCCTCCCGTTATCTGCCACGTGAGGTGCCTCCACGTTTCCGCCAGCAAGAACAGAAGCAACTTCTGAAGAGAGGACAGCCACTGCCTGCTGGGACACTGACCAGTGCTAATACAGGACAGGATACTGGGCAAACTGGGGCAAGCCCACCTCCACAGCAAGGGGCTGGTGGAGCTCACCATCCCACAAAGACGCACTCTGGTAAGAACAATTCTTTATTAAATGGTGTTTTGAATTCGTATCTAAATGGGATGATTGAACTTATGCAAGAATTAGAATATTCAGTTGTGTGTATTTAACATTGGCGTTATTGTTTGAGTTCATTTGATTTTATTTTACCTTTTATTATTCAAAAAGCAGTGTACCCTTTCTGATTTTTTTTTTTTTTTTTTTTTTCTTTACTGGGGTCTGACATTGCCAGGCTTGATCACCAGCCCCCATAGACTGCTAGCTTTCTAGCCTCTAAGGCAGTGTCACTGGACATGCATTGGAATGGCAGTTGGCAGAGCTGAGCTGTGAAGTCAGGCCCCGGACTCTATAGTGGAGGTCTTTTTTAACTACTAAACCCACAACAGTGAAATCAGTCTGTATATGCAGTAAAGCATGCTTGTTATACTCACTGTGGAACCGAAGGGATTAATTCTCTGTGTTGTGTAAAAAGGCTGTTTTTTTTTGTTGGGGGGGGAGGCATGTGTTCAGCACATGGCCAATCATCATTGTCCAGACAGAGGGCCAGGGGTCATGCAGCCTCATAGGACAGTCAGAGGAGAATGAAAACTCCTACAAGCTTTAGTGCTCTGCTGGACACAGAGGTCACAAGACTCCTCTCTAACTGCTGATGAGAAAAGGTATTTAGTAGTTTATATTTACTAAAATAATTGCATTTCCATGTTGTGTGTACTGTGGGAGAGCAGATATAGTGAATGCAGGGTCCGGGGTTCAGTAACACTTTTAAGTAGACAAGCAATGATCTAGTGAAAGGCTTTGAGTCCCTGTCAGCATCCTTTAAACCTGCAGACAAAAGAAAAGAAAATCATGTTTTTCAGTTGCTCTCTTGTAGTGTTTTTCCTTTCCATAAATTATTTTTTTAATCACCTACAATGTTCTTTTGAACTTGCTAGAAAACTTGAATGGATTGACTCTCTAGTATAGCCCCCTTCCTCTTTGCATGTCATAGCCCTAATTACTGTTAGTGCTGGCCCAGCTCCTCTGCCACTCCCGTTACATAATCTTTTGTGTGTAGTTGCTGGAGACGGCACACAGGAAAATACTATAGTTTCACTTGAGCAACAGCTGTGAGTGGGCTGCTGGCATCCCATTCAATATGGCAGCATTGAGCAGCAGTGTCAGGCTTTTGTATGTCTACACAAGGGAGGCTCTCACAGGTAACTAACATGAATACATTTTATATGCACAAATCTTATGAAAAGATATTTTGTTGCAATGAATGGTCTGGCTACAGAGTCTCTTTAGACTCAGTATTAGATACAGTGTGTCATGTACAGCTGTTAGCATGGATCATAACCACAAGCTGCCATAAAAATTCAGTAGTACTAAAGTCACATTTACACCCCGGTCACATCAGGTGCGATTTGGCATGCGATTTGTCCGCTATTAGAGCGGTCATGTCAGTGTGGTTCGGACTGATATCGGATCCGCACCGATTTCTAAAGGAGTGCATGCACTACTTTTGCTGCGATTTGCATAGACATCTGTGTCAGATGTCTTGCAAATCACAACTGAAATCGGCAGGTCACCCAATTTTGAAATCGTCCGACTTCACTGTGAGTCGCACGATTTCAAATTCTGCTTTGATGTGACCGGGGGCTTAATAAATAAGGTGGGGGTAGATGAATCAGCTTGCTGCTTGATTGCAACACTACATCTCCCAGAACACATCCCCTAGCACCCTTTTAGATGTGCTCATTCCAAGGAAGAAACTGGGCATTGTATGGTGACTTCCAGTGGCCAGCAACATGCTTAGGTTCACACCTATGCATTTTTTTGGTGATTTTTCGCAGAAGCACACTACAGTCCATTTAACATGGTTTCACATTTATGTTTTTTTTTTTTTCTAGTGTTGCATTTTTGGACAGAGTCAGGAACTTTTTTAAACACAAAATAGTGCATTGTCGGTTCAATAGACTTCAATGGAGATGCTGCAGAAAAGCATGTAGTGCATTTACTGATGCAATTTTAATGTGTTTTTGACGCATTTTGTTTGTGTGTTTTTTTTTTTTTTTTTTTTTTTTTTTTTTTTTTTTTTTTTTTTTCAAATCTGCTGAAGAACAAATTGGCCAAGAAAAACTGCAAAACACATAAAAAAAAAAGCATGTGAAAAAACTCATCCCAAAAAGCACTGCAGAAATTGATAAAACAACAAACTGCATAGGTGTGAACCAGGCCTAAAGGGATGCTTGGGATGTGTTTTTTCAGTTTGCTTCATCACCTGTCATCACTTATACTTGTAGTCTCAGTTTTCAGTGTAGCTGAATTGGCGATTACAAAAGAAGATTTTGAGAGAGGTACAATGCATAAAGGAAAAAATGCAAATGGTGATATCTGGAATGATTCTCAGGGCTCGTTCACACATGTGTCAATACTAGGTGTTTATGCGGCATTTTTAAAGCCTCATAATTGCCCTTATTGCTTTCCATTAATATTTCAATGGGCACCACACAGTGCTGTTTACACAGAAGCAGTAACATTGTGTTGTATTGTGTTAAAATAAGCTACATATTGCTTTCATGAGGCATCAGTGCTTGTCAACCACCTCTATTGATGGTAATGCTCTATTATGGGCAGCACAGTGGCTAAATGGTTAGCACTTCCATTTGGCAGTACTATGGTTGTTGGTTCAAATCCCAACCACGGCACCACCTGCCTAGAGTTTGCATGTTCTCCCTGTGCCTTTGTGGGTTTCCTCCGGGTACTCGGGTTTCCTCCCATACTCCAAAGACATGCTGTTGAGTGAATTGGATCCTGTCTAAATTGGCCCTAGTATATGAATGTATGACTGAAGATTAGGGACCTTAGATTGTACACCCCTTGAGGGTTAGGGACTGATGTAAATGTAATATATATATGTATGTGTGTGTGTGTGTGTGTATGTGTGTGTATATATATATATATATATATATATATATATATATATATAATGTAAAGCACTATGTAAATTGACGACATTATATAAGTACCTGAAATACATAAATATTCGCACCTTAACAGTACCTATAGCATTTATGGCGCATTAGTAAAGCATTTATAAAGTGTTTGCTGGGCATTAGGGGAGAGATTGTGGAGGTTCCAGTGTCCCAGAATGCACTGGGGAAATAGAGAACTAGGACAGAGCAGTCCAGTCACTTCCTGGTTGTACAGAGCAGTTGTACTTAGGTATTTATGGGGGCCTATTGAATGTTAATTTATTTAAAATGTGTTGATTTATTTAAACAGAAAAGGGAAAAAAATCTGGTGCAGCTGTGCATGGTAACCAATCAGCTTCCAGGATTTTTTGTCAACGCTTAGAGTGTTACTAAACCCAGCCAGGGGCAGACTGACCATTTGGAAACTGGTCAGTAGGGGGCCCCATGAGATACCCCTGGTACCTTTTTCATAGGCTTTTTTGAGTTGGGCAAGGACACAGGGGCCCCATGAGTTGTCAGTCTGCCCCTGAACCCAGCACTGATTAGCACTGTGTTGATCACATGCACTCTCCCAAGAAAAACAAAACTCTAGCAAATACACACAATACTAAGCATGTGCAGCTTACCCCCAAGGCTCTGTTCTATCAGTAGATGGATTGGGGACTGTGGAAGAAGGGGTGATCAGAGAAGACAGGATCAAGCAGCCTTTTTACACAATGCATAGGGTTACCCCTTAGGTTCCACAAGAAATGAAACTCGATGCATATGTGTCATTTTTGCTTAGTTACTTTTTAGGGAGTTTCAACAAAACCTACGTGTTGTGTTTTTTAAAGTGAGTTCATATTGTAGTAAAGCTAGTAATATTTTCTGTAGGGTTTCCATGCTCTTCCTCAAATTACAATTGTTTTGCTGTTACATGTATTAACAATTACAGACTTTACATTCAGTTCTGTTTTTCTATTTTAAATAGATTTTCAAAATGCTGCTGTGTTTTGCTGTTTTGTTAGTATTTAATTTCATCTGCTGACATGGTCATGAATTAATGCATGGTGGTTAATATGGTAGGAAGACGAGGGGGAGGACTGTGCAGCTTGTATAGTCTTACTAACTGCTGATGTTGGTGAAATTGAAATCTGTAACTAGGGAAGGTTGCAGGCTTTGCCAGAATGCAGTGTGATCGTTCGTCAGAGAGCTACAGCATCCTGTTTGAATCTTTTGTTCATTTTTTAAAGTTTTCATGGAGTAGAGGTTTTCTGTGACAAATATTACTTCTTGCTGGTATGTTACCAATACATTGCTCAAAAAAATTAAAGTAACATTTTGGAAAGACATCAGATCTCAATGGGGAGAAATATCATGCTGGATATCTATACTGGTATGGACTGGGTAATGTGTTAGGAACGTAAAGAAGACCCATCATTTGATGGAAAATAAAATTATCAACCTACAGAGGACTGAATTCAAAGATGTCCTGAAAATCAAAATGAAAAAATTATGCAGCAGTCTAGTCCATTTTGCTGAAATTTCATTGCAGCAACTCAAAATGGTACTCAGTAGTTCGTATGCCCCCCCCCCCCCACATGCTTGTATGCATACCTGACAATGTCAAGGCATGCTCCTAATGAAACGACAGCTGGTGTCATGGGTATTTCCTTCGAAATCTGGACCAGGGCATCACTGAGCTCCTGGACAGTCTGAGGTGCAACCTGGCAGCGTCGGATGGACTGAAACATGATATCCCAGAGGCGTTCTATTGGATTTAGGTGAGGCGAGCGTGGGGACCATTCAATGGTATCAATTTCTTTATCCTCCAGGAACTGCCTGCATACTCTCGCCACGTGAGGCCGGGCATTGTTGTGCACCAGGAGGAACCCAGAACCCACTGCACCACCATAGGGTCTGACAATGGGTCCAAGGATTTCATCCAGATACCTAATGGCAGTCAGGGTGCCATTGTCTAGCCTGAGCCTGTAGAGGTCTGTGCGTCCCTCCATGGATATGCCTCCACAGACCATCACTGACCCACCACCAAAACGGTCATGAACGATGTTACAGACA